GAGGGGAGGGGAGGAGAAAAGACCAAATAACAGAAGAGACGTCCTCTCTCCGTGGGCCCTCCGCGCCGAAGGGCCTGGAAGGGCGCGCCGAAGGGTGCGTCCCTATGCGCGGCGGACGTGCCCGCGCACGCCGCCGCCACCGCCGAGGCGCCACCAGGGCCTGCCGAGGGGGACGGGAGGCGGCGGCAGCGCCAGCAGTTCGGCTGCCTTGACTGCTAAGGTTGCGTACTCTCCGCCTCCTCCTCCTCCTCCTCCTCGTTTGCCTCCTCCTGTTCCTCCTCCATTCCTTTTCCTTATGACTAGCTTCCTCCTGCCGCACCCCGAGGCTATTTTTTTTGGTGGGCCGGGCGTGTCGCCTGAGACTTCCCCACCACTCATGACCCTGAAGTTTTGAAGGTGACATCACTTTCACACATGGAGGGCGCGCCGTTTTCAAAAGATGGCTCTCGCCTTAGCGCATCGTACGTTCGTTTCAAACATTTGCAAAGAGCTTCACGGGTTGAGGTCGGGCCGTTTTCAGAATGTAGCTCTCGCGTTAACGCAGCGCGCATTCGTTTCAAACCTTTGCATGGGCTTCACGGATTGAGGGCGGGCCGTTTTCGACATGTGGCTCTCGCCTTAGCGCAGCGCACATTCTTTTAATACACTTGCGAGAGCTTCACTTCAAACTGTGGCTCTCGCCTTAGCGCAGCGCGCACTCGTTTTTAGAGATTTTGCAAGAGTTTCACGGATTGAGGGCGTGTCGTTAGCAAAATGTGGCTCTCGTATTAGCGCAGCGCACAATAAGACATTTTGCAAGCGAGTTTCACGGATTCCCATGATCAGCGTGCCAGACATGGTGTTTGGGAATGGTTCAGGGTTGTGAGGTTGCAACAGTTAGGTTGGTTCGCGGAATTGAAGTCCCAAGAATGGCGTTCTGGCACGATTCAGGATCGTCACGACGCAAAGGTCAGGTTGATCTGTGGTGTTGGAATCCCGAGAACAATTTGTTGGCATGCTGCAAGGTCTTCCATCGGTTGTCTTCCATGGGCACCTCGAACATCAATCCGTCTTGTGATTTACATTTTGCAGATTCAAGCCACGAAACCCGATCGAAACGGCATTCCACATTTCACCCTTTGCCCTCCACCCAAGGAAAATGCTCGGAACGAGGCAGTTTCCTCAGTGGAACACACCGTTGTAGGGGCATATGAAGAGGGAGTTTGGAGGGTGGGTTTAGTCCAACATCGTTGGTGACTCTTGGGTTTGCACTGGTCCTCCAACTCCTCCTCTTCCTCCTCCTCCGCCCCCCCTCTTCCTTTTCGTCGTCCTCCTCCTCCTCCACTCCCCTCTATTCCTCTTCCATAGAGGCATATCCTCCCAGTCGTACCTTCAGAAGTGCTGGCAGGGCGGGCCGCATGTTTCACCAGAATCGTCCTCACCTGAGGATGGGGGGCGAGTGGGAATCGAAATGTGGCCCTCGCCTCAGCGCCGCAAGCATTGCAACACAGTCGCTGATGAAGGGCGTGTCGTTTCAAAATGTGGCTCTCGCCTCAGCGCCGCGCACATTCGTTTACAACGATTGCGACAGATTCATAGATGGCATGCGGCTCCGAACTGTGGCTCACGCCTTAGCGCCGCGCAGCTTCGTCTCAAACGTTTGCGGCAGTTTCAAGGGGTCGTATGATAGTAGCTCCAGGAGTGGTATTCTGGCGCGGCTCAGGAATGTCAGGACGCATTAGTCACGTTGATTCGCTGTGCTGGTGTCCCAGGAACGGTGCTCTGGCCCAATTTATTGGATGGTCAGGGCGCAATAGTCACGTTGACCCTCGCCGTTGGAGTCGCAGGACTTGTGTTTTGGCACGATGAAGGATTGCCAGAATGTTGTCTTCTGATGGGCCACTCTCAGCATTGAAAACAAATCCTGTGAGGACTTGCGAAGAGAAAGGTTGAGTGACATCATTATTGCAAAATCGTTGATGCGTCTCCTCCTCCTTCCCCTTCTCCTCCACCTCCCCTCCTCCTCCGAAGAGTCCTCCTCCTCCTCCTCCTCCCCTCCTCCTCCTCCTCCTCCCCTCCTCCTTTCCCTCCTTCTCCCCCTCCTGCTCGTCCCCCTCTTCCTCGTCCTCCTTCTCCCTCTCCCCCTCCCCTCCTCCCCTCAGGGGACGACGAAGTTTGGAGTTTCGATGTTTTTTGTTGAACGTGCTCGCTGGCTCTCGGCGGCGTTCCAGACTTGGAATGCTTCCGCAGCTGCGCATCGCCGAGAGGCCTGAAGGGCTCAGAAGGGATGCACCGACCCCAAATCGCCCATTCGTCGCCGATGGGGGCCTGGCAGCCACGCCTCGCCCAGGGACGTCTGGATTTGTTAAGTATCGGGGGCTCGTCATCGATCTATCGGCGAAACATCGCCGATGCCAGCTCGACGTGTCCCCCCCTGAGCTGGGGAGCTGGTCCCCCCGCAACGGCTGCCCTCATCTCTCTGCCCCCGCTCCTCTCCGCCTCGCTGCCTCGCCGGGGTCGGCCCCGGCAGGGCGGGAAGACCACAGGAAAGGCAGCCCCTCTCCACAAAGGAAGACGCACTACGAGCACTGCTCTCCTCTCCCCCCCGAAGATCGCAAAGTATCGCCAATTCCAGCTCGACGTTCCCCCCCACGATCTAGTCCCCACCCCAAAAGTTGCCCCCCCCCCCCCCCCCCCCCCCCAAAAAAAAGTCCATTCCTCTTCACAACTGCTCTGCACAATATTCTCCTTTCTCCCGCGAAGATGGCGAAGCATCGCCGATTCCAGATCGATGTCTTCTCCCGCTGAGCTGGTCCCCCCCTAACTTTGCCCCACCCAGACAAAAGGGTTCCTATCCACAGTTTCTCAATCTGAGCACTACTCCCCTCTCTCACCCGAAGATCCTGAATTATCGCCGACTCCAACTCGATGTCTGCCCCCCCCTCCTCAGAGCTGGTCCCCCCCAAACGTTGCCCCCCCCAATAGGTCAGCTCATCTCCACAACTGTTCAATCTGAACACTACTCCCCCCCTTGCAAACGGCCAGGGAGTGCCCCCCCTCTCCGTATTGTTCTTACACACAAGGCTTCACTTGTTGGTCATTCCTTTTTTTCCGTCGGAGTGTTTTCGGTGCCTCGAGGAAGCTCCAGCTGCAGCGCTGGCCGCACTATAGGATCGGCAATTTGCTTCCATCGTTCAGGATGGCGCTCCCGCCCCAGCGCGGGCCACGCCTCAATCCTGCTCGGGAGTGACCCGGGAACCGAAACCTGTTGCTGCCCCTCCCCTCCCCCTCGTTCCCCCCTTCTCCCTTCCTTGCCCCCCCCTGCCTTCTCGTGTTCTTTCCCTCTCTCCCGTCCCTGTCGATCCCCTCCTCCCCACTGCCTTCCCTCTCCTCTCCCTCTCCGCACTCGCCTCCCCTCCCTGCCCGTCCCGTCGCGCTCCTCCCTCTCGTTCCTCTTTCCTCCCTGCCCCCTGCCGTTTCCAGCTACTTGCTCCCGTCCGCCATCTGCAGGGTCCCTACCCTGTTCCCCCTCGTCTGCGCCTGCTGCCTGGGCCACCCCGGGAAACGTTGCAGTTGGCCCCTCGCGGTGCACCTGGTGGGTGGCGCCCGAATCGGCCCTGCAACCTCGACCGCCAAATTTTCCCTGCGCCGAAAGCCGAAGTGGTGCACGCTGGGGGCGGCGATGGTGGTGCATGCTGGGGTTTTGTGATGGAGTTGCACGATGCACCTCCCAGTGTGCGCCACAATCGCCCATGACGGTCTGTCTCCCCACTGTACACCGCCAGCGCGCTGCCTCCTGCCGGGGGGTCCCCACTGTGCACCACACGCCGCCCACAATGTGCACCGTCCCCTGTGTGCACCACGCCCTCCCCCAATGTGCGCCACCCCTTGTGTGCACCACCCCCTGTGTTCCCCGCTATGCCCTGTGTGCGCCGGCAAGCCACGGGGGGGTTCTGGCAGGGCGTCCGGCTCAATCTCCGAAGCTGGGCGAGGCGCGAGGATGCTCCCCACGCCGTCGAAGGAGGACGGGGGGCTCCGCTTCCCGTTTCCCCTCCCTCCTCCCTCCCCCCCCTCCCCTTCTCCCCTCCCGCCCCCCCCCATTTTCGCTCCCCTCCCTCCCCCGATCCCCCACTCATTCCTCCCCCCCCATCGGCGGGGGGGGAAGGCGAGGGCCGGGAGGGAGAGGAGGGGGGAGGCAGGGGTGGGTGGGCCGTTTGGGACGTGAGAAAACAAGAAAAAACAGAAGGGGACGCGGGGGAGGGGAGGGGCAGCAACAGGTCTCGGCCTCCCCCCGGGCAACATTGAGGTGCAATCTCGACCGAGGCACATCCGCGCGGGCCTGGCCCTCCCCCGCGAGGTCCCGCCTGCGGCCGCCCTGAGCACCGATTCGGGTTCGCGGCTCTGCCCCGCCCCGAACGTCCGCGAGAAAGCCCCCAGGTCGGCAAGGGGGAGAAAGAAGAAACGAGGCGCAAGAAAGGCGAGGAAGAGGAGGGAAGGGGGGGCAAGGAGGACTGGGCAGGGATGTCGAGAAGGTCGAAGAGCAACGTCAAGGATGGAGAGGGTCAGGGAGGATGGATGATAATGATGATGATGATGATGATGATGATGATGATGATGATGATGATGATGATGATGATGATGATGATGATGATGATGATGATGATGATGCTGATGATGCTGCTGCTGCTGAGGATGATGATGATGATGATGATGATGATGATGATGATGATGATGGATGATGGTGATGGTGATGGTGATGGTGATGAGGATGAGGATGAGGATGAGGATGAGGATGAGGATGAGGATGAGGATGATGATGATGATGCTGATGCTGATGCTGATGCTGATGCTGATGCTGCTGCTGCTGCTGATGATGATGATGATGATGATGATGATGATGATGATGATGATGATGATGATGATGATGGTTGTTGCGCCAGCAATTCGCACGCGCGTGCGAGTGGTCTGTAGCCAAGACGTATGCCCACAACACAACGCGCGGGCCGCGCAAACGACATCGAAGGCAGGCGGCAAGCGCGACGGAGGACGGCGGGGCTGTCGACAACAGCCACCGCCGCGAAGCAAGAGAAAGGGCAACCATGCACAGGCCAGCAGCTGCACATGAAAACACAAGGCAACACAAACAGTCCAGATGAAATTCTGGGGGTGTGGGGGGGGGGCAAAAGACCGAAACAGAATCCCCAGTGAGCCTGCCGATGGCTTCGTGGCGCTTCCCCAGACAACTTTTCGAGGCTGGAAGCCTGCAGAGCCTCCTGAGCCAGCGTGGGGGAAACTCCGGAGAGCGCAAACATGGATTAGCGATCCATTGATTTGGCGCGCGGTCGCCAAATCCATGGACCGGGGGAGGTGTATTCCCCCAAATGCGGCTGGTGCCGCTTCGTTCGGCGGCGGAAATCCGCGATTGCCCATGGAAACGGGACCCGTCGCTAATCCACGCCCCCTTGATCCATGTTTGCGATCGCCTGGGGGAAGCGGGAAGCCCAAAACGGGAAGAACCCAACGACCTGTTTCCCTCAGGACCCGCTTCCCCCTATGGTGACCGAAAAGGCCCGCCCCCCTCTGCATTCCTCCCCGGCCCCCCGCCGATCATCCCCCCCTAACATTGCGAAAGAGGCCCAGGGACACAGAAATCAATAGATATGTAAATCCAAGGACCTCGAATAGTTTTTAATATTCTATGGATTTTCGTTTTCCTCCCCCTGCCCATAGTTTCCTGCACTTTCCTGGGAGTCGACGATGCATTGTGTCTGCGTGGTTTTTCCCCTCCTGAGTTGCCCCTAGCCTTAGGTCGGGCATGTCCTCCTACAGGCGGATGTTTGAAGAAAAATGCAAATTGTCCCGGCGAAAAGCCCAACCATATGCAATTGTGAGTACCGCGTTGTGGGTACCGCTTTCGGTGGGGCTCCCTATGGGGCCACGACCCTCGTGAGGGTTGTGCCGAACTGGGCGGGGGGGCGCATGCGGACCATGCCCCTGGGTCCTTCGGTGGAGCTCCCTATTGGGCTGGCCGGGGGAACGCATGCGGACCCTGCCACTGGGGCCTTATGGGAACCTCCCTATGGGGCCATAAACCGTGTGATGAATGTGCCATATTGGGCGTCTGGCGCATGCGGACCCTTCCGTTGGGGCACACTATGAATCCTCGAAACGTGTGAGGGGTGTTCCAAAATCGGCGTCGGGCGCATGCGGGCCCTGCCACTGTGGCCTTCGGTGGAGCTCCCTAAGGGGCCTTCGGTGGAGCTCCCTGTGGGGTCACGAACCGTGAATGGGACTGCGGAGGAGCCACGAAACGTCCGAAACCGCAATGTCTTCGCACTATGGGTGGAACTCCTACGGACCCTGATCGGCACGATCCGTCTGAGACGGTGGAGCTCCCACAGGTCGTGTATCTAGGGGAATGTCGAACGGTGTGGCGCGGATGCATGTGGACACCGCCACTGGGGCCTTCGGTGGAGCTCCCTAAACGTGTGAAGGCTGTGCTGAAATGGGTTGCGCGGACGCATGTGGGCACCAACGGGGGCCTTCGGCGGAGACCCCTATGGGGCCACGAAACGTGCGAAGAATGTGCCGAAATGGAGAGCGCGGACGCATGTGGGCACCGCCACTGGGGCCTTCGGTGGAGCTCCCTATGGGGCCACGAAGCGTGTGAGGGGTGCACCGAAGTGGGTGGCGCGGACGCATGTGGGCACCGCAACGGGGGCCTTCTGTGGAGCTATGTAGGGGGGCCACGAATCGTTTGAGGGGTGTGTCGACATGGATGGCGCGGACGCATGTGGGCACCGCGCACCGCCGCTGAAGCTTCCAGTGGAGCTCCCTATGGGGCCGCGAAGCTTGTGAGTGGTGTGCCGACATGGGTGTCGTGGGCGCATGTGGGCACCGCCACGGGGGCCTTCGGTGGAGCTCCCTATGGGGCCACAAAGCGTGTGAGGGGTGTGCCGACATGGGTGGCGCGGACGCATGTGGGCACCGCCACTGGGGCCTTCGGTGGAACTCCCTAGGGGGCCACGAAACGTGTGAAGGGTGTGTGGTGGCGCGGACGCATGTGGGCACCGCCACTGGGGCTTTCGGTGGTGAGTGGTGTGCCGGCATGGGTGGCACGGACGCATGTGGGCACCGCTACTGGGGCCCTCGGTGGAGCTGCATATGAGGCCACAAAGCTTGTGCGGGGTGTACCGAAGCTGATGACGATGATGGTGATGATGACGGCGACGATGACGACGCTGATGGCGATAGTGATGACGACGACGGCGATGCTGCTGATGATGACGATGACGATGACGATGACGATGACGATGGTGATGATGACGATGACGATGACGATGACGATGACGATGACGATGATGATGATGATGATGATGATGATGATGATGATGATGATGATGATGATAATGATGATACTGATGATGATACTGATGATGATGCGGATGTGTTTTCTGAGAAATATTGAGATGAGGATGGTGATGATGCCACGATGATGATGATGGAGATGATGAGGACTATGAGGACCATGAGGGTCATGATGATGATGAGGATGATGATGATGATGATGATGATGCTGATGATGATGATGATGATGGTGGGAGGAGGGAGGAGGGAGAGGGAGGAAGGAGTGAACGCGGGGCGCTCTCTTCAAAGCGAGGACCCAACACCGCAGGGTTGCTCGGGGAATGCTCAGAACACGACCAGGCGGAGACCCGAAAGAGCACGACACGTCGTCACCACATCACCTCGTGGCTGCTCTTGAGCGCTCTTCCTGCAGAGGGACGTGCCCAACTGGACCCTGGCCTTCGTGGCCGAAGGATTGCAAAAAACCGAAGGATTGCAACGAAGGATTGCAAAAAAACCGAAGGATTGCAACGAAGGATTGCAAAAAACCCAGGATTGCAAAAAAACCTTCGGTTTTTTGCAATCCTTCGTTCAAGGTTGTTTGCAATCCTTCGGTTCTTTGCAATCCTTCGGTTTTTTGCAATCCTTCGGTTTTTTGCAATCCTTCGTTCAAGGGGGGGCGCTCGGCGCGCGGCGGGGCGGGAGGGGCCGGCGGCGTGCTGCGCCCCACCGCCGCCCAGGGCCAGCGCGGAGGCCCACGCCGACTGGCTCAGGCTGATGGGCGCCACCATCGGCGCCGGCGCGGTGATGCTCATCGGCGCGTGCAGCTGGGCGCCGGCGCCGCGGGCGCCGCCGCCGACCGACGCATCCCCCCCCCCCCCTCTCTCCCCCAGGGGGGTCCGACCAAAAACGGCGCTCTGCGGCATCGCTTCGCTTTCTCTCGTTCTGGAGCGTCTGGGGGAGCGGAGGCGGCCCGTCCCGCGGCCCGGAACAGCATTTGGGCGCAAATCAGAAAACAATGTTGGCCCATGGTGGGTCCAGAATGAAAACAAAACGGAAGCATAGAGAAAACGAAAACGATCCACGAGAGTGCCAAAACAACGTTTTGGTCGCCCCCTGCCGCCTGCCCTGTCCTTTCTTGGGGTACTCTTGAGACGTCTTGGGACTCTCTTGCGCCACCGTGGCGCCTTCTTTGGGTGCCTCTTGGGCCGTCTTGAGCTGATTTCTGGGGCCTCGTGGGCTGTCTTGGACCGTCGGAAGCAGGAAACAGAGAGAACACGATTCACCTGCAACAACTTGCAACTATCGAACAGACCAAAAAAAACCTACTTGTTTCGCCTCCTGAGTTCGTCGTGGGGAGCCTGTTTGGGCCCCATTGGGGCATCGTGGGGCCTCTAGGGGAGCCTCCAAGGGGCCTCCAGGGGGCCTCTAGACGGCGACGAGGACGACGACTTGAACGCCCTCGAAAGAACAAGCGTTGGACTGCAAATTCCCGCGCCCACACGTCGAAACATCGATACGCGACTAGATTTCCCACAGCAGGAGGCGAAAGAAAGGGAGGGGGAGGATGAGGAGGATGAGGAGGAGGAGGAGGAGGAGGGGCATCGGAGTCTCACTATTTCATCCCTTTCAGGTCACGAGCGGGTGGCAGGGCCATAGGATTCTCAATCTTTCAATTTTCCAAGGTCACGAACGTGTGGCAGGGCAATGGGGTTCTCAACAAGACAACCCGCCCAGGGTAGAAACGTTTGTATACGTGTGTTGGCTGTGACGGGCAACAACAAAATGGGCGCGCAATTGACAACAACATGACAAGCAAGACGACGACGAATACCACCGGCACTCTGGGCAAGGGTAGTTTAGGGTGCCGCCGCTTCCAAACAATCTCTTCTTCATCATCCCTGTATCACCGTGGTCATGGGACCCCCTCGCGAGGGTCTGGAGCGTCCAGGATACTCCCGGGGACGGGTTCAATATGGTCAACAGCAACCCAATGTTGAATTCAACATGCCGCAACATAGCCCACATTCTGCCGCACTTTCTGGCAACCAGGCATTAGTCAATTACCAGACGGCGAAGCAGTCGACGCACCAAATGCGCGCCAACCGCGAGCTGCGCCAAACGCGCGCTGAGAATGAAACCGCGGTAGGATTGAGGGAGGACACGACCAACCAGCTCCTGAATGCGAATGAATGGAAATCGCTGAGCCCATCTTGGGCCGTCCTGGGGTCCTCTTGGATCCCTTGGAGTCTGGGAGCACTCTTGGGCCGTCTTGAGCCACTCTGGGGCCCTTGTGGGGCCATCTTGAGCCGCCTTGGGCCCCTCTTGGGCCAGCGTGGGCCCTGGGTGGGCCCTATCAGGATTCCTCTCGGCCGTCGAAAGGCGAACTTGGGGGCCTCTTGGCCCGTCGTGGGCGCCCGGAGGAGCGGACAAACAAAAATGCTAAACTCATACAGCAATTATTGAAACATCGCTGATGTTGTGCTCCGAGACTCCCGCGCCAGTCAGGGGGGCTGTTTTGGTCGTCTCGAGCCGTCTTGCAAGCGCTCGAGCTGCCCCTCTGCCCTATTGGTCTGCTCTGGTCGCTCACTCGTGCCCCATGGAGCTGCTTTGAGCCGCCCCGGGGAGGCCCTGGAGGCCCCCTGATTCACTTAGGGAGCCTCAGGCTTAGGGCCAAGGTTTGGTCGTGCTGGAAGCCTTGGGCCCTCTTGGGGCTGAAGGGGTCGTCGCGCGCTTCGCGCGCGCTCAGGTTTTGGCGCGTGTCTGCTTTGTCCTACAAACGTACGTGTACACATATATACACCCGTCCGTTCCTACACCAATTCAAACATACAGTCGTCCATACATCCCATCTTCTGGAATGAGTGAATACCCTCACTAAAATCCCAGCCCTCTGCGCGACATGTGGTCTAACGATGTCGGTCTTTCCTCTTCCCAAAACACTCTTCCCCTTCGGGGATGGGGTCATCACTGTTCCGTGTTAATTATCTTGCACAACTGTGCTCTAGAGCTCGGACCTCTTTATTTTCATTCCTCGTCGTCCCCCTGGTCCGGTCCTGGCCCTTGACCCACCCCTGGCCCTTTCAAGGTCGGCCTCCCGCACGGTCTGGGAAACCCCCCGCAGGATTTTTGTTACAGGGTGACATGAAATCAACAAGGGCCACAGGAAAAAAATGAAGTGCTCCACTGGTGGGGAGGCCGCAGGAAACAAAAAAAGGGTTGAGGTGGGCGAGCCCCACTTCCACAGCAAAACAAAGGGTCACAGGAGCAAAAGAAAGTGTAGACTTAGGGAGCTCGACCGAAGGTCCCAATGGCGGGACAGGGCGCTCCACGGAAGACGATGCCCACAACTGCGGTACTCACGACTGCATATGGTTCGGTTCTTCGCCAGGCGGTTTTTGTTGGACTGCTTCTGACATGTGTTGCATATGTCGAAGTTTTTCCAAGCTCCGCCTGCAGGACGGCATGCCCGACCGAACTCCAGGGCGGCGCCGGGAGCGCCGCCGCGGGGGGCAGCGCGCCGCTCCAAGACATCCGAGCGCGGAGCGCCGGGGTCCGGGGTTCCGGGGGTTCCGGGGGCTCCGGGGTACCGTTGCCCCCGGAGCCCCCATGTTGTCCCCGCTGCGAGGGCCGCCGCCCCGAACTGAGCCTGAAGTCAGCCTTCTGCTGGACTGCTGTGGCTTCTGACTTCTGACTTGTGAGCCCGAGATGGAGGAGGAGGAAGAGGAGGAGGAGGAGGAGGAGGAGGAGGAGGAGGAGGCGGATGCGGATGCGGAGGAGGAGGAGAAGGAGGATGAGGAGGCGGAGGAGAAGAGGGTACGGCACTACCTGGGAGCGTCGCGCGGTGCGCCAGACGCCCACGAAAGAGTGAGAGGGGGCAAGCCCCCTCCCGCGAGCCCGACAGCCGCCACGCCCCCACCGCCAGGATCACGGGGCGAGGCGCGGGCACAAGGAGAGAAAAACAGCTCTGGCACAAGGGCCAGCCAAGAGCATTCAGGTGTGCGGCATCACCTGGGGCGGCGCTGGGCGCTACCCTCCAGGCTGCGCCCCCCCCCCCCCCCTTCGTGCAAGGGGAGTCCACCGAAACCACTCCCTGAAGGAGGTATGTGGCGTCACCTGGGACTGCACAGCTCGCGCTGTCCTCCAGGCCGTGTCTTCCGCAAGACGCGGAAAGACCACCGAAGCCACTCCCTCGAGAACGAGAGAGAACAGGCGCAAATTCTCTAACGTGCGATGCATCAGAGACAGTGGCCAGGTCATTATCATCCGAAGTGTGCGCTATGAGCCCGAAGATCTCGTTCGAGGCCGCCTCCCAAGCCCTTTCCAGGGTGGCGAAGTCGAAGAGTGAGGATGCGGGCTGATCGCCTGCTCCAGTGCCGTCCCGAAGCGAACAGGAATCCACAGCAGCGCCTCCGCGACGAAGACCACGAGCATGAGCGCCAGGCCCATCAGCAGACGCGCCCGAGAACACGCGCCCGCGAATCCCAGGAATGGGGCGGAGAGAAGGCCCATCACCACGTCCGAGACCACTGCGGCGAAGAACACCATCGCAAGGTAGAGCTCCAGCTCGCACGGCAACCAATCCAGAGAACAGGCGACCACGAGGTCCAGGCACGGGACGTGGCCCAGCAATGTGGTGAGGGGCCGCAGAAGGCGCAGCCGCACCGCCAGGACCGCCACGACGATGCAGAGCGCCAACTTCATAACGCGCAGCAGAGACAGCGCCGTCCCGCAGCGAGCAAGGAACCACCGCATCGCCGCCGTGACGATGGCCATGATCGCGAGCGTCAGGTCCAGCAGCAGTCACGCCCTGAAACACAAGCCCGAGAGGCCCAGGGATAGGACGAGGAACACCGGGGCGACCACCAAATCCATGGGGCGGACGATCATCTTCGCAACGTAGAGCCCCATCACGCACGGCAGAGACTCTAAGGAAGAGGCGAACTTAGGGTCCCGGGACAGCTCGGGGCCCAGCGGGCAGCAGAGGGGCCGCGCGAGGCGCAGCCGCGCCGCCAGAACCTCCATGTCGAAGGAGAACAGCAGCTGCCACCGAGACTCCATGAAACCGGCGACCACGGGGTCCAGGAACGGGACGAAGCCCAGCAGGCTGATGCATGGTCATGCGATCCGCCGCCACGCCGCCTATGCATGTCGATGTGGGCTGACCTGCCAGTCGCGCGCCAGCCGCCGCCGGCAGGAGAGCGGTGCGCGCAATGGTTGGCTGCGCCGATCGCACCGACGGGCCCGCCATACTCGCTGCGGAAAGAGCGCAGGACGCCCGCTGCGCGCGCCGACCTGCAGCGACCGCGGCGCGCCGTCGTCGTCGGGCTGAGGGTGCGGTCGCGCTCGCCGCAGGGGGCAAGGCGGCACAAGCACCCTTCGCCAGGGACGCGCCAGGCGAGAAGCACCTGGGGCTGGGGGCTCCCATCGGCGGGCCGCCGCGCCCCCGCGGGCAAAATGGCTGCGGGGGGGCGAAGGGGGCCGCGCAGGGAGCCGCCTGCGGAGGAAAAGAGGAAGAGGAGGAGGAGGAGGAGGAGGAGGAGGAGGAGGAGGAGGAGGAGGAAGTCGAAAGACCTCTGGTGCTCTCCTCCTCCTCCTCCAGGTGGCCGAACGGCCAGGCAGCACGCACAAGAGGAATGGTCGTCACCATTGCCATGGGAAGCGTACTGATTGAGGGTTGATGCCTTCACTCTCTCTGTCGACAGTTCGGCGGATCCCCGCCTTCATCTTGAGCCAAAGGCTGCGGCGGGCACAGGCGGCGGCGGGCGCAAGCACGCTGCTATGCTCGCTCCCGCTCTCCCTGACACCCTTTCACTCGGGTCGGGAATTCGAGCGCTCTGCGCGGCCCTCCAGCGCACTGCGCGCCGAGAAGGCCACTGGCTGCAGGCCGCTCAGGTGCCACTCGCTGCTGAAGCCCAGCTTCACGAGGGCCGTCCGGTCGAGCTCGCCCTTCGTCAGCCCGTCCGCCAGCATGTCCACCGTGTCGATCCAGCTGAGCTGGGACAGCTGGAGGCGGTCGATCTGCTCACGCACCGCGAGCGTCGGCACGAACATGCGCTTGTCCGTGGTCACCTTGACGGTGGCGGCGGAGACGGCGTCAAACACTGCCTTCGCGTCGATGGCCGCGATCATCTTCAACACTAGGTCGCCGGCCTCCTGCCGCACTCGCATCTCATTCGCTGTGCACACTCCTTCACTGATCTCAGTCAATGCCACGTTCATGAGGGTGCCGGTGCCAAGTGCGTCCAACAACGCCATCAGCTCGGCGGCGTAGGTGGACCTCACTACGTTGTTCTGCTTTCTGCTGTACCAGTCAAGCATCACAATTCTGTACGTCGATCCGGTTTGAAGCACCTCGGCGTCAGCCTCCAGCAACATGATCACACAGCCTCGGATCGCCAAGCCTTCGAACTCCATGGCGTGGAAGGCTGAGTCGCTGACGACGGCCAGCCGCACTCGGGTCATGTCCAACTCGATGAACCGAACTCCGAGCTGCTTCGCGTTCACCATGATCCACTTCAGCAGCCGGTTGATCTTCCGGATGTCTCCGACTGACGGCTTCTTGGCCTGCCGCTGGAGGTAGCTGACGTACACTGCAATGGGCGCCATCGTCTGCGTCATCCATGCGATCCCCCCGAGCAGCGACATGTACGCCGCGTGGGTCTCCACGCTCACCTGGCCATCTTCATTCTCCATCACATACTGGTCTTCCTGGAGCGGTCGCAGCTGCTGAACGTAGTGCTGCTGATGCGTCCAGATGGCCTTGGTCACAGCGTCCTGTTCGTGCATGATGCCAATGCACTCAAAGCAGTCGTACTGGCGCTTCAGCTTCCCGAACTCGCTCTCGATCATGCTCAATACCTTCTCCCGCAGGTAGTCCTCGCCGCCGCCCTTGAGGTCGTCCACGTGCGAGGACATGATCATCTGCAGCTCACCCTTCGCGTCGTGGTACACGTAGATCTGCGGGTCGCTGATGAGCGCCTTGCCTCCTGTCTTCTCCAGCACTTGCTTCAACATGACCTGCCACAGCCTCGGCGCGTCCTTCAGACCGAAGCCGCAGCGCAGGAGCAACAACACCTCTGTCACAGGGTTGTAGTCCTCGTAGCCCTCCAGCTGCCGGAGGACTGGAATCGATCCTGGTGGCATCGTGAACTGCACCTTCCGCTTGACCTCGCCGTCCATGGCGGCGACCTGCTCGAAGGTGAGCCCGCGCAAGAACGCCTGGCTGATGTCCGCTGAGAATAATCGCCACTTGCGCTGTGCAGTCACCTGATTCACCAGTCGTTGTCCCCATCGTGTCGTAGTACCCGCAAAGGTGGACAGCTCCGGTGACTGCATGTCCTTGAAGCCTCTCACCGTGAGCCTCGCGCGCACCTGCTTCTTGCCGTCGATCTCCTTCCACTTGAGCACCCAGCGGGAGTCGATGATGTTGGTCGCCTGATCCTTCGGGAAACGCTGAAATGCCTTCAACTCCGCCCAGCGCTGGAGCTCGTCCATCATGGCCTGCCGTACCTCAACTTCGTGAGCTCGGGCCTCTTCCAGCGTGAGCACGTTCATCTCGCGCTCGACGACAATCTCGCGCTTGCCCGTGTTGTAGACGCGCAGGATGTAGATCTCCCCTGACCCAGGTCGTCGCATGTGCTCCACCTCAGGGTGCACCCAGTACATGAGTGGCGCACCTATGCCGATCTCGACGCAGTCGGGTCGGGAATTCGAAGAATCATCCTCTGCTGCTTCTGCCACATGATCTGCGTCCGGGGCTGCAAAGAAGAAGTCGCTCTGAGCGCACTCGATGTCAACAGCAGGCAGAGCGGCCTGCTCCTTCAGGTGCTGCCAGCTCGCGAACAGGTACTCCTGGGTCGCGTCGCTGTCCGAGTCGCCGTCGTCGTCTTTGCCGCCATCATCCTTGATCGGGAGCACTGGCTCGTGCCGGGGCGCAGGGGCCTCAACTGCCGCCGCTGGCTCACCTGCACCTCGGGCTCCATGATCACGATCCGGGCCATCACGTGATCGCGATCTCTCTCGCGCTCCTCCGCCTGGCTTCACCGGCGGCTTCACGGGCGGCACAATGTTGTCGGCAGCAGTCGAGGCAGGAGAGGGCCCTCGTGGCCGATGGTGCCCTCGGTTGCTCCGACTCCTCGTTGAATCCGATGTTGCACTCGTCTGCCTGGATGCGCTCGATATGCTCGTGTCGGGCACTGGCATTGATGCACTTGTCTGTCTGGATGCGCTTGGAATGCTCGTGTCGGATATCGGCTTGTCCTGCCAGGTCATGTCGAAGTCTTCCTCCTGAAACTCTGGCGGTTCCTGAAACGGTCCGGGTTCAGGTCGTTCTGGCTGTTCATACCGTCGTGCGTGTGGAAGGTTGCCGAACCACGGACCCCCAAGATGCGGAACCTCGGGTTCACGTCGCCGAAGTTCGCGAACAGACTCGTCGTCCGTCATGATGAACTGCACGAAGCTGACGTCCCGCCAGTGATCCTTGCCAAATATCGGGGCCAACTTCAGTCGAGCAGATCCAGACGCCTCGTGGTGCCAGGACAGCTCTGGGCGTCCGCGCCGCCACCACCACAGGAAGCTGTGGTCGCATCCGACCATGCCCTCGAGCACAGACACGCCGTTGCCCACTCGCGCGCCGATGCACCCCACCAGGTAGAAGCCACTGGCGGCAACGTGCAACACCGCCAGGACCAACTCGCTGAGCTTCTGGCTGTCCGCGGTCCGCTTCCACCCGGCGTCGAAGAGCCACCCGACGCGCACGACCTTGCTGTCCAGCTGGTCCGCGTAGCTCATGAGGGTGGCCACCGGGTCGCGCGATCCTGCCTCAAAGAAGATGTTGTTCGTGAACATCACGAAGTAGACGAGGCTTCGCCGAAGGTCCTGAGGTCGCACTTGAAATACTCGGCCCTGCCATCGGATGAGCACTGGAGGTCCGACCTGCAGCAAGGTAGCCGGGCCGCGCCACCCCGACTCCTCCTTCGTGCTCGGCGGCCGGTGGAAGCCAACCTGGTCGCCGACCGCCAGCTGCAGCGCCTCGTGCGGGGCACGCGTCTTGGATCGAAGTGCGCGCCTCAGCCTGTCCTTCGCGGTCATCTCCACCATGGCTTGCATTGCAACTTCACGGAGCCGATGATGGTGTCGAGAGATTCCTGGAATGCCAGCCGATTGATCGTCGATCTGGCAGTCGCTCACCGGCTCGAACTCGGCGAGCAGGGGCGGAAGTCGGCCGTACACCGCCTGGTACGGGCTGTAGCCAGCCACGGTGATGAGAAGGTTCTTGATGAGGGCACACTCCATGATCACGATCTCCAACGGCATCACAATGCCTTCTTCCGCAAGCTGGGCCTGCACGCGGTGTATGATCTTGCGCACTAGGTCGTGATGACGTTCCACCAGCTGCGCGTGCGAGCCCTCCTCCTTGGCCTTCATCTCAATGCCCCAGCGGTCCAGCCACTGGTGCGCCTCCTCGCCATGTAGACCGCCCTCGATGTCGGCAATCAGCAGCTTCATGGGGCCATGAGGACGTAGCCATCCCTGAGTGATGCCGGCGATAATCATGATCGCTGTCTTGCGTTCCAGAATGTGCAGCACCGTCCAGCGGGTCGCCTCATCGATCATGTGTGCCACCATCTGTTCGCCGATGTAGAGGATGTCCCACTGCACCATCTCGTTGAAACCCGTCGCGAGCCGAGATATCGTCATGCTCTTCGGTCCCGGTCTCGTCCATAGCCTGCACACCCGGCACGTGTCGCAGATCTCCTTCACCAGGGCCAGCGTAGATGCAGGAGCGCCGGCCTTGGTCAGCAGCTCTCTGAGGCGAGCTGCTGGAGCGTGCCAAAATCGAACATGAAGTCGTCGCAGCTGGCGCCGAACGACTTCCTGGTGTGGGCTGTGCAGTAGTCGAAGCGCGTGCCCGAGGTCAAACGCGGTCCAGCCTGGCTCGTCACTTCCTCGGGCCTGCGTCCCCGCATCCACGCCTCGGGCTGGCGCGGCTGGGGCCGCAGCCGGTTGCTCCGCGGCGGGTGCCTCACCGATGGCGTCCGCCGATCCCGAGGCGCCGCCTGATGGCTCGTCCGGCTCCGCCTCTCCAGCTGCTGGCAGACGCGATCGCAGTCGCCGTGCCGCCGCTGTCGCTCGAGCCACTCGAGGTCGACGCTCCGCAGGCGCAGGTGGAGGCAGTGGCGGTTCAGGTTCGGCATCTGGCGCGTCGGCTCGCGCGGCGCTCGGTGCCTGGTTCGCAGTCGGCTCCTCGGAGGCTGGTGGTTGTCTCGGTCGTAGATCTCGAGGTCCAACTGCTCTTGGGAGAACACTGTCTGCTCGGCATTCTCCAGGTATTCGGGTATGTCGTGTGTCTGAGGCCGCGCGACCACTCCGGCAGGCAGGGCACTTCAGGTCGCGATTCGTCGGCACAAATCTATGCTTGCATGTCTCCCCTCGATCATGGGCTGGGTGGTCAGCCGGCCGATGATGCCGACATCCAGCGCACGGCTGCGCAGCGCGCGGTACTCCTGCTGTAGCCGCTGCTGCTGATGATGCCGCTGCTGCTGCTCCTGAAGCTGGTACTGCGGCTGCTGCTGCTCCAGAGGATGATGCTGCGGCTGATGCTGCTGCTCCAGAGGATGATGCTGCGGCTGCTGCTGCTCCCGAGGCTGGTGCTGCGGCCGCAGACGCCGAGGAAGCAGAGGAGCCAGCTGGTCCGGATTGAACAGCGGCCGTGGGGTAGCACTCGTACACCACGAGGTGGTGTCCCTGATGCCTCACGCGCTCCACCATCTGGGAGATGCTCGCCGCCAGCTCCCGGCAGATGCCAATCGCCCATTCCGCGTGATCCTTGGGGTTCTCTAGTCGCCATTTGTCACGCTCTGGATGGTGTCCTCGGCCACCATGGGCCAGCAAGGCGTGATCGTGCTGGCCGTCGCAGCGAAACCTCCTGAGTCCGGCGAGTAGGCGCTCGTCCGAAGCCCAGAACTCCGAGGACTTCTTGATAGGTAGTCCCGTTCGCCGCCCAATCTGGCCGGCCATGCACTGGTCGACTTGGCACCATGCCACCGCGTAGTTGTTGGCGATGTGTTGCCAGTCGTCGAGCTTGTAGAAGTCGCTGCCCAACGGCTGTTCCGACGCAAAGTGGCGTCCGGCGTCCATCTGAGTACACGCCGCTGCAGCGGCGATGCGGGCCAGCCCCACTGATGTCTTGCGACTGCGAAGCCAGCCGTCGTAGTTGATGACCTTGTTGAGCGCCGAGAACCCCTTCAAGCTCGTACAGGGCGTGCTAATGAGTAAAACCAGAGGCTTGCCTCGATACAGATATTCCCAAAACTGCCTCTGGCCCTCGTGCGTCATCAAGTTGCAGTCGCAAATGAGATCGAAGTTGGGACCGCCCCGATATCCTCGTCGTACAAGTAGCCGGGTCGTTCCAGATGCGCCACCGCACAGCTCCGCGACGTCGTCGTGCTGCAGGTGGCCGTAGTAGATGTTCATGTGTGTGTCCATATCCTTGACCGAGCTGAAGAAGTTCAGCTGCTCGTCTTTCTCGTTCAGGTGCGCCTCCGAGCCCATCATGCCAAAGAACTCGGACATCATGAGGTACGGTTGCTCATCGATGTGCTGGTCCTCCCTGAGCTCGGTGCCGTAGCACGCCTCGTCCAGCTCGTATTCGTTCGCCACGTAGAGTTTCGTGAAATCGGAGCCGCAGTCGTCGAAGACCTGCTCCACTGTCTGTGGCCTCTTCTTCACCTTGCGCTCCGGGTCTGCTGCCTTACGCGCCTTGTCGCGCGTCCTCTGCTCGGTGGGAAAGCTCGCAGTCAGCGCGCTCACCTTGCAGCCTGCCCCGTCGACGTCGTCCGCGAATGACACTCGGCCAGGTCGACGTCGCTCAGCTCGTGACTGCTCCTCGTCGGCTTCTCTCAAAGCCTCTGCCCGAGATCCTGGAGGCCCGGTAGTCGTCGGATCCGTCCTTGACGACCCGGGTCGGGAATCACCCCCGGCCTCACGGCTTGGTGTAGCTGTCGCAGATGGCGACAATCCGTCGGCTGCGTCGGATCTCGCGCCGCCGTCGAAGCAACCAGCGGCCACCATCCGCTTGACCAGAGCAGATACCCCTCTGGCCTTGAAGTCCAACCGATCTGCAGCAGTCTTTCGTGTAACATGTCGGCCTGCTGGCCAACCGCAGCGGCACTTCGCGTCGTGATCGTCGAAGTAGCTACTGCTGACGATGCGTGTAGTCTGAGCTGCTGGTGATCCTCGAGCGTCACGAACCCCGAGGTTGCACCATCGTAATCGTCCTGAGTGCCACCTCCTGTCGTCCAGCAGCTCCAGGATGTCGGGCATGTCCCACACCGCGCTGCCCTCGTCCGCCTCGACGATGCAGCAGCGATGCCCTTCAAGTTGAGCTCGAGCAATCTTACACTCGAAACGCTTGGCTCGCTTGTCGTTGCGAGTGCCTCGCGACGTGCCCGGCTGAGCCAGGCTGATCCAAACGAGCTCCGGCTGCTGGTGGCGCAAGGAATCCGCCCACTTATCCTCCTGCCCGAGGAATCTGTGAACATCACAGCTGCGACCCACCGCATATCCGCATCCGTGCAGCGCGTTCTGGCACAGGTTCTGCAAGTCGCCGAACACCCATGCCGATGGCGGTCTCCCCTGTACTTCCCTGGTGCCCCCGCCGTCCCGAGCACCGAGATGGGGCGTCTTCGATCAGAGGTGCAGGCTGCCCGCGTCGGGCTGCCCGCTGGCGCTGTCCGATGTGGCACCGCTGCCGGATGACGTCGCCGTAGTGGTCTTCTTGCTTGCCATCCTGGTGGATGCGGGAGTCGGTGCGGTTGCTGCAGGCAAGGATGTCGAATCTGATGTCGTCGAGGTCGCCAATGCCATCGTCCTCGTGGGTCCCGAACTCCCCGATGTTCCCGTCTCGTCGTAGAGGTCGCAGGGCAGCATGAGGTGACCGGCGTGGCTCTCTTCCAGATGATACTGCGATGATCCTGGGCTCAGCTGCAGGGAGTAGCCGCCCGGGCCGATGCGGTACATGCGATTGTTGAAGCAGTCGAGCAGTATGCGCTGGTCCCGCAGCGATGCTCGCCCGAGCAGTGCCGGAACGCTGCTGTTCGGGAGCACCGGCGCCTCGTAGGTCGCGGCTTGTCCTCCCTGCAGCGCCAGTTGATAGCGATGAGCGTGCGTGGCCTGCTGAGATCCTGAGCCCACACCACCAACCTCAAGCACCCGGTCGAGTGGGGTGCGGACAGGCGGTGGACGTCCTGCCTGCTGCTGTCGCGCTGCCATCCTGTTACCCCACTCATCGCCAGTAAGGTTGCCTGGGCTCCCGGGGTCCACCAGCAGAGCCTCGCCGCTCCTGTACTTCATGCGGGTGCGAACCAAGTAGGTCTCCCCGCTGGCGTTCTCGAACTGATCAACTCGCCACCATGGGAACCATGTCGGGCTGGTCAAGGCCGCTGATCGCCCAGCTGTCGTCGGAGGTTGATCCTCCGCAGCTCGGTCCTGCATGCTGGCCTGAATCTCCGTCACCATGTCGTGCTCCGCGACGTTGTCGCGCATGTCCAGGGTCTCCCAGCTCAGCGCCTCGCGGAGGGTGTCCTCGTCAAGGTCGTCGATCTGCAGGCCGGGCGTCCGGGCATCTTCGGTAAACCAGTGCAGCACTCCGGACAGGGCTCCAGTCCGCGGCTGCGCGGGCACAGGCGCATAGGCGGACAATGTTGGGTCGGTGGCAGGAGCCCCAGCCTGCTGCGTCCCTGTCGAGGCGCTGCCAGAGTTCCAGGACATGAAGTGCTTGCCCTTGCCCTTGCCCTTGCGCTTGGGGCAGGCGGCCACGAGGTGAGTCTCCGAGTCGCACTCGTGGCATCGCATGGTACGGCCGTCACTGCCTCGAGGATTGGTGGCGCCGGGCGTGCCTGCCATGTAGTGCTTGCCGCCCTTCTTCTTCTTACCTATTCCTCCTGCCAGCGAGCCTGGGTTCACCACCGATCCTCCAAAGTGGTATCCCTTGCCGTGGCCTCGACCACGTCCGAAGCTGCTGCCGCCCTTGCCGCTGTTCATACGAAGAGACCAGTTGCTGCGCGGGAAACGAGAGCGGCGGCTGTTCCGTTGAACAAAGTGGCGAAACCTGTGCTTCGCGAACAGGTACTCGTTTAACAGGGTGTCGTAGTCCCAGCCCTCGGAGTCGCCATAATACTCCTGTAGTTCCTCCTGAGTGAACTGGGAAGTGTCCAAGTCATCGTCGTCGGTCATCGAGTCATCGTCCCCGGGCTCGTCTTCGTACAAGTAGCTCGAGCAGACGGCGCAACAATCGTAGCCCTCGTCGTCCTGGACCACGTAGTGCTGGGGTGCGGATCCAGCGCTCCCTGCCGCGCTGGATGCGCTCTGACCATACATGTATGCGGCCGTGTCGTTCCAGGTGTTGGCGCCGCTGTCATTCTCGCCCGTGAACCAATGATGACCGTGATATCCTTTGCCGCGGTATCCTTCAGACAAGTTCTGAGGTCCTGCATGAGTGTGCTCCGCAAAGTGGCCCTGCTGCCGCACCATCCCGATCACGCTGTTCAGCTGGTCGATCGTCATTGGCAGCTGGCCGCCGTTGGACTGCAGCACCAGGGGGTACACGGCCTTGGGCACATGCAGGGCCTCCAAGAACAGCAGCGAGAGCACCGGCGTCGGCAGCACGAGCGGGTCGTCAAGCTGCGCCACTCGGGCGCGCAGAGCCTCGAAGCGCGTGATCGCGTCGTCGACGCTCTCCCTCTCCTGTCTGCGGAATGTCAGCAGCTCAACGATGGTGCTTATCGAGGACTGGACATCGAGCGGGCCAAAGCGCCGCCTGAGTCCTGTGATCAGCATCTGCACCCCGTCCTCGACCAGGTTGCCCAGCTGGTCGAACCTGCCGTGAGCGATGGCCTCGACCGGCACCTCGCGGCAGAGGTCCCTCGCCGTGCCGCCGAGCCGCTGGACGATCGCCGGGCCGCGCTGGTGCTGCTGCAGCTCCGTCGCCGCGCACCACAGCATCACGTCCTGGACCCACAGCCTGAAGGGGTACCCGCGCTGCTCAAGGTACGGCGCCCAGAACGGCGGGACCTTCGACGTGCTCTGCTGGGCCAGCTCCGCCGCCGGCAGGCCCTGCACGTTCTGCTCGTGGGGTTGGCCCCACTGCGGCGCCGGCAGCCGTGACTCGCCGATGCGCTGGCCGCGCTGCGGCGTCATGGGCCTGAAGCCCAGGGGCTCCGCCAAGCTCGCTACGTTGATCAGGATGCCGAGGAGACCGATGAGCCACACGATCTTGCTCGGCGTCGAACTCGTCGAGGAGGAAGAGCATCCAGTACTTGATGATGTCGTGGCCTGCACGGGGCAGGCTGCACATGGAGCGGTCGTCGCACAGCAGGTACAACGCCTTGAGCTCGACTCCACCCCATTGCCGTGGTCGCCACGCTGCGGCCTGTCGCCGCCCACGTCGCACGCAGAGCCGGCCGGACTTGCAGCCGACCCTGCAGAGCCCACCGGCTCCGCTACCAGAGTCGAAAGACCTCTGGTGCTCTCCTCCTCCTCCTACAGGTGGCCGAACGGCCAGGCAGCACGCACAAGAGGAATGGTCGTCACCATTGCCATGGGAAGCGTACTGATTGAGGGTTGATGCCTTCACTCTCTCTGTCGACAGTTCGGCGGATCCCCGCCTTCATCTTGAGCCAAAGGCTGCGGCGGGCACAGGCGGCGGCGGGCGCAAGCACGCTGCTATGCTCGCTCCCGCTCTCCCTGACACCCTTTCACTGAGGAGGGCCGAGGAGGAGGAGGAGGAGGAGGAGGAGGAGGAGGAGGAGGAGGAAGAGGAGGATAGGGAGGAGATGGGGTGGGTCAAGCCGTTGTCTGTTCTCCGGAGAGCGAGGGAGAGGAGGGGCCCGCGCCTCCGACGGGTGCGTTGTCCGGAGCGGCGCCTGTCCCTGCCTCGACGGCTTGTGCGTTGCCGCCTCTGGGGGCGGAGAGGAGCGGGACGGGAGGAAGGGTACTATGTTCGGACGAGGACAGGTTCGAACGAGGCTGGGAACGGGAAGATGCGGGATGGGTTCGGAGGAGGGAGAGGACAATTCCGAGGGGCGGAGGGAGTGGAACGGGGGAGGGTAATGTTCGAACGAGGTTCGGAAACTGCTGGGAATGAGAAGATGCAGGATGGGTTCGGATGGGGCGAGGGACAAATCCGATGAGGCTGAGGGTGAATCCGTGTAGCCTTGCGTATTCCTCCTAGCCAATACAGCAACAATCACTAAACGAATTGCCCTGATCAGGGTTGTGTAGCAGCACGCGATCACGCTCTGGGACCTCCTGGAAACATCTTGGGCCCCTATGGGACCTCATGCGATTTACGGTCGCGTTGCTAACAGTGCTGCGCACTTGACAACTGCGCTCGGCGGCTGACAGGAGGGGCCGCTGAAACCACAACAAGAGTTCATATCAACTATGCGGGTCCATCGCCGCTGCGAAAGTTTTGGCCCATTTCGTGGCTCCGCCAAGACAGTGCCGAGCGAGGGCTCCGAGTGGGCATGGCCCATCACGCCATTGAGCGCCAGAACCTGCGAACTGCAAAGCGCCCCGAAATCGGTTCGCAATAAAACTTGGAGAACGTCCTAGGTGGAATCGCCATTGAACCCAATGGGTTTCGAATTCTGTCAAAACTATTTGGCGGAATCGCCATTTCGACTACGAACCCGGAAACCTAACTTCGGTCGGTCTTTTCTGTTTTTGGAGGAAGCCTCACACGGAATCGTGGTGTCGATTCGGTCAACCTCAACTTTTGGAAACGCGATTATCCCCAAACTCGGCACTGCGGTTGTCGCTCGGGGGCTTCCTCGACACAAATATTCCGACCTGATGTCGGAACCGGTGGGCCCGAAGTAGAAATGGCGGTTCCGCCCAATACTTCTTCGAAGAGAAATGTTCGACCGAGGTCGAAACTGCCTGGTCCGAAATCCAAACTGTGTGAAACTGCCTTCGCGACGCGAAGCAACGGGACGCACCCGGGCAACATTGTACTGGGGCTCCGTCACCTAACAGGTCCCATTCGACGTGTCCGTTGACAAGATTGCGAACGGGGAGCATTGAATGTTAGCCGAACTTTCGTAGCGGCGGCGAAATATTGGGGCCCTCTTGGGGCCACTTAGTTGGCCTTTGGTGCTCTCTTGGGGTCCTCTTGGGGCTCTCTTGGGGCCATCTTGGAAGCGCTCTTGGGGCCATCGATGAAATCCGCCGACCCTGTCGACATGTGACAGGGGTAGTTCCGTCGCCATCGCCGTCGCTGCCACCGTCGCGTCGCCGCCGCCATCACGTCCCCTCCTTCCCCTGTGTCCGTAGCCGCTCCCCTCCTTTCGTTGGGCCCTCGTCCTCATGCACCCCAGCCAAAACGAAATACACCAGCCCATGCACAAGCGAACTTAAGCAACGTTGTCATGGCGTCGGAAGGAAGTCCCTTCCCTTTGACCCCTTTCCCGCGGAGAAAGGGAGGCGTTTGGGGGGGGTCCCGCAGGGGGGTCCCGTGGAGTGCTCCCAGGTCAGAATACCACTCGGGGCCCATGGCCCGCCCTCTCCCTCCCATTTCCGTCGATGGCCGAGGCCTCCAGGGGCGGCGGCATCGGCCGTTGGGGCGGCTCGCCCGCGCCGCCACCCCCCTCACGCCTATCCGCAAGGGGAGGGGTGCAACGCTACAGTGGGATCCTGTGACTACCGCAGCGCCTGCCTTCAACAACCGACGGTGGCAACGTTTTCTCATTCAGCGTTTCGACATCGGGCGGAAGGGGGGGAGGGGGGGGGGCTCCCGACCTCTGCTTGGTGCGGCTGTTTGCAGCAATGCGCCCTCTGGCGGAGGGACCCCGCCTGCTCGAAACAAGCGCCAACAACAACCAAGATCTACTCCACGGGGGGAAATGGGGGGCTCCGAGGGTCCGCGCCGATCGGCAAACAATGAATCACTCACTGCGTGGAGCTCCCCATTTGTACATCCATTCGCATGGACCTGTCCGCCGTGAGTGTCTAGACGCAAGAGTTTTCGAATATGAGCGGGCTTGAGTTGTGACGGTCTGGGCATGAATCTAACTGCGAATGCATTGGAGTGTGAATGAGTCTCAGTAGTACGAGCGCGTCTCTGCGCATGAGCCTGGGGCCTCCTGAGGCCTCCTGAACCTCCTGGGGCTTTCTGGGGCCTCCAGGAGCCTCTTGGGGCCCCCTGGGGCTTTGAGTGGCCTCCTGAGGCCTCCTGGAGCCTCGCGTGGCCTCCTGGGGGTTCCTGGAGCCTCCTGGGACCTCCCGGGGGGGATTCACGCCCCAGTTCACGCCCATTCTATTGGAACAGACGTACATGGCAAAAGAGATTGGAGCCACATGAGAAGGGCAATCTATAGGAACACGCGTAAAACACCAAGGACTCGTGCCCCTTTTTGTTGGCATCGCCAGCGCGGCGCTCGCTGCGAGCACCGTCCGCTCTGGAGGCTCGGGCTGTCGGCAGCCATTCTGATTGAACAGCCCGCAAGAAAAGTGCAACCATATACCTCTCGAGCGTTGCCGCAAGCCGAGCCTGCAAGCATAACGCACCAACATAGGAAAAACGTGGTTGACCAAAACAAATAAAATCTGTGTATTCGCAGCGCGCTTGTTGTTGTAAACTGTAAAAATACAAGAATTAGAGTGGTTGAGGATAGGTGGAAGTTAGGGGATAGAGTGATTCAATACAGGGGAAATCATTAAAACAAATCAAGCAACAAATATGAAAAGCCATCTTCCACAACTTCAACCTACAACCACAACTTCCACAACTTCCACATAACTAGTTGTGCGCATCACAGACATACATCCCCGCCTCCACGGCGCTGCCCGGTGGGGCCCGGTGCTCGTCGTCCAGGCACAGCTCGGTGTCGTGGGAGTTGAGCATGGAGAGCAGGCCTGGAGGAGGAGACGGAGGTGGATGTGGAGGAGGAAGAGGGGGGGGAGGAGGAGGAGGAGGAGGAGGAGGAGGAGGAGGAGGAGGAGAGGAGGAGGAGGAGGAGGGAGGAGGAGGAGGAGGAGGATTAGGAGGAGGCGGAGGAGGAGGAGGGAGGAGGAGGAGGAGGAGGCGGAGGAGGAGGCGGGGGAGGAGCGTGAGAGGAGGAGGGGAGGAAGAAGAGGAGGAGGGGAGGGAGGAGCGAAGAGGAGGAGGACGAGGAGGCGGAGGCGGAGGAGGAGGAGGAGAAGGAGGAGGACGACGACAACGGCGCCCTCCTTGCAGGACTCTGGACTGGGACCACGTGGTCCAGAAGCGCTACCAACCCCTTCTGGTGCCCTCGTCGAGGTGCCTCCCAGCTCGGGCCACGGCAGCGCGAGGAGGCGTCGGGTCAATGTTCGCGGGGAGCGAGAGGTGGACTCGAGGTACCCCCTTGCTCGAAGAACGCCCGCTTGCGCAAACATGAACTTTCGGAGATCCGCGCGGATTTCTTGGATTGCCGCTGGGGCCCCCTGGCGGCGCCTCCTGCGCCGCCCCTGGCGCGCTCCGCGTGCCAGGGAGGGTGGTCCAGCACCGATCCAAGAGATCAGCGCGGACCTCTAAACGTTGTTGCTTATGTGCTTTCCTTGTTCTTAGACTTACCCTCCGCCCGCCAGATCGACACCTTCCCTAAGACGAACGCAAGACGAGGATAGCATCGGATGAGGATACATCGAGAATCTCTGAGATCCGGCGGCTCTGGTGGATGCCTTGGGCGCCGCGGCCTTCTCAGAGCATTCCGGAACGCTCTGAGAGCGTTCCGGGAACGGATTTATCCTCGTCCTGGCCCCGTCCGATTCCCCGTCCTCTCCGACGCTGTGGCCGGGAAGGAGCAGCTGGGTGAACGGGGGACAGGCGGTTGCTCTTCGTGCCGACTGGCAGGAGCGGCGGAGTGCGGTACCGAAGCGGCCGTTCGCCAGGAGGCTACGTGAGCGGTAGATCGTAGATTAGGCCAATATTTTGGGAAACTCTTTCTAACATATACCGCCTCGGTACTGTAGCCTTTCGTGGCCTTTTGCGGCCTGCAGTGTATTATTGGCGGCCATTTCGTGGCCTTTAGTCGCCCACTGGCAGCCTTTAGCGGCCCTTAGGGGCCTTCAGCTGCCTTCAGTAGCCTCTTCAACAATGCAAAGAGCTGCATTTTGGATGTGGAACTGGGTTCCAAACAGACCCGCTCAGCGTAGAGAGTCCGGCCAGAAGCTGCCGTCGTTGGGGGGCACAGCTTGGTGCCGCTGGAGTTGGGCATCGAGTGCAGGCTGGCCGCCGTGGAGGAGAAAGCTGAATGGGGTCCTGGGACACACAAAGAAATACACACAAATAACATGATTCCCCATATTTTCATTTTTTTGATTTTTGTCTCCCCCCCACTTCCATATTTTCCCATATTTTTTCAAAGGATCGACGATTAATTTGTCTGTGTTTTTTTTGTTCCCTCCTGAAATCTGTCTGGCGGGCGGAGCACGACACCGAAGAGGCAACTCGCCGGAACCATTGAGCGAGCCACCAATGCGGAGCATCCTCTGGGCCTACCTACTTAGAACTAGGGCTAGGCTTAGGTCGGGCCTGTCCCCCTACAGCGGGGTTCTCGACGAAAACCAAAACAAATTCAAAACATACACCAAAACAATCAATAACAACTCAAAAAATCGACCCCACAGTATGTCTTGACTATTTTTCAATATTTGGACAGGCTCGACTTAAGGCTAGGCGCCATGGCCTTCATGTACTGTCGTGTGGGAAGCACGCATGCGTGCCACGTGCCCTCGCCAGAAGAGGGTCAGTAGGCGGCAGATCGCAGAGACCCAGACCAAAGCTGCCGTTGTTGAGGACGGAGCGTGGCGCCGAGGGAGTCGAGCAAGGGGAGCAGGCCCGCTGCGGCGGCGGAGCACGATGCCGCAGCAGCAGCTTGCTGCAGGGGGTGCGGCAAGCTCGTGCCTCGACGGCATGCCGCTCGACTCCCAGAGCCCCTTCCAGGGCCCACGACGCAGTCAACCCGCATGAGAAGGACGCACCACGAGGACGCAGGGGACCTGGAAGGCCTCTCCGAGCGGGCCGCGGCCCGCGAAGGCGGCCGAGGATGGGCCGAAGAGACAAAGGACGCACGGGCAACCCCTTCGCCCATCCTGTCCTCCTCCTCCTCCTCCTCCTCTCCTCCTCTCCTCCTCCTCTCCTCTCCTCCTCTCCTCCTCCTCCTCCTCCCCCTCCTCCTCCTCCCCCTCCCCTCCCCCCTCCCCCTCCCCCCACTCCCCCCCCTCCTCCTCCTCCTCCTCCTCCCTCCTCCTCCTCTCCTCCTCCTCTCTCCTCCCTCCTCCTCCTCCTCCTCCTCCTCCTCCGCCTCCTCCTCCTCCTCCTCCTCCTCCTCCTCCCCGCCCCCCCCCCCTGGATTGCTGTGCGGGCCGAGCGTGGCCCTCACCTCAGCGCCCTGACTGCAGGAGGCTCCGGCCCAGAAGCGGCTCGTGCTGGGCGGGGCGCCCTTCTCGGCCCTCGGAGCCGCGCTCCGCCCGCGGCGGCCGACGGAGGGCGCCCCTACAGGAGGGACCCTCGCGGTCGCAGCCTGGCCCTCGGAGCACGTGATGGGCCTGTTTTCCACCACCACCACCACCATAAGTTGGAGGGGGGGAGGAGGTGCAGGACGAGGGGGAGGAGGACGAGGAGGAGGAGGAGGAGGAGGAGGAGGAGGACCCCCTCCCCCTCCAACTTATGGTGGTGGTGGTGGAAAACAAGCCCATGAGCACGGGCAGGGCACGCCACGAGAGCGCGGCCGCAGGCGGGGGACGAGCGATGACGCAAGCGTAACGCCTCCGAGGTCCGCGCGGATCCCTCGGGGCGGCGCTGGGGCCTCCCGGGCGGCGCCCCCGGCGTCGATCCGGGAAATCCGCGCGGAGCTCACACAAGTTCTGTTGATGCCAGGGCCGGACCTAAACGCTGTCTTTCGTTATGTGTTCGCTTTGGTTTTTGCTTTGCTCTACCTGCTTTCCTGTACCTCCCTGCTTGAAACGAAAAGCAAGACACAGCCGAAGTCCAGCAAAACGTCGTTTAGGTCCAGCCCTGGCTGATGCAGTGCCTCTCCTTCGACGCGAGAGTGCGAGCACAGCCTCGCCAGAGGCCCGAGCGCAAGAGCGCGAGCACAGCTCCGCCAGAGGCCCGAGGCACGTCGGGGTGCCCAGAGCGACGGGCACCCCGAGGCGGAGCACGCCGCCACAGACAGACCGAGGGAACGCACGGGCCCCCCTCCCAGGCTGGGGATGCTCGTGCACGGGGAAGGATCGGCGGCGGGCGAGGGGGGGAAGTGAGAAGGAGAAGGCCTTCCCAGAAGGCGGCGGGCCTCCTCAGAGGCCCTCGGGCCTTCGGGGAAGTCGCCTGCCTCTCCGCGAGGAGAGCTCAGAAGACTTCTCGGAAGGCCGGGGGACTTCTGAGCCTTCTGAGAAAGCCTTCTCCTTCTTTGAGCAGGGACCGATCGTCCCTGCATTCCTATAGTCCCACCACGAAAGATTCTTAGAACCCAAAATGTTCCACGAACAAAATAAAATGTTCTTAGAACATAGCCCCGATGCGTTATAACAAGACAGACCCCGCCAGAAATGTTCTAAGAACATTCCGTGGGAACCACAAAAGGTTCTTAGAACATTGTTTGGTAGGGCTATAGGCACGCCGGGACGCTTCGCCACTGCTTGATTCTCACTTCACCTCGGGCTCGCCACCGAGAGGGGACTTCTGAGAAGGCCTTCCCCTTGGGGAGACCAACAGGTACCAATACCTCCACTCCCAGGACCCCCCCCCTGGGGTGCGTTCTGACCAGAATTTCGAGGCGAATCCGGCGGTGGCGACGAGGGCCTCCCAGGAGGCCCAAAAAGGGGAAAACGAGGCAAGGATATAGAGGTATAGGTACCCTGGCCTCCTCTGACCCCTGCCCCCTCTCCCCCCGGCTCGCCGCCGAGAGGGGAAAAGGGGGGGGGGGCCCGCTCCGCGGGGAGCGGGAGGCCCGGGCACGGAGCTCGGGACGCGGACGCCCTGGGGACCGCGGCGGTGGGACGGCAGGCGGCGCCGAGGCGCGCGTGGGCCAGCGCCGGCGGCGCGGCACGCGAAGCCGGAGCTCCCGACCGGCATCTCGAGCTCGGGCCGGGCGTGAGGGGGGGAGAGCAGAGGGGGGGGGGTCCGAGAAGCAGCTCACACAGCTCACGGGGCACTTTTGACGAGGGAAGTGAGAAGGAGAAGGCCTCCTCAGAATTCCTTCAGCAGCCCCCCGGTCCTCTGAGGAGTTCCCTGAGCTTTCTCGGGTCGGGGGTGAGAATCAGCTCACGTAGTACAGCTGATTTTCCCGGCGCCTCCCAGCGCCGGGAGGCGCCCATGTATCGAGGAAGGGGCCCCTCGGTGGGGCCGAAACCAGCTGCATGCAGCAGATTTCGTACCCCCCCCCTTTCCTAATCCCCCCATTTCGTCCAGCCCAATAAGTCGGGCCTGTCCTCCTACAGGGGCATTTTTGACGAGAAATAAAAAATAGTCGAACAATACCCAAACATTGACAACAAATGCTAAAACAATGGTCCCCCGACCACTTTTTGACTATTCTTGAATATTCCTCCTTGCGAAGGACAGGCCCGACTTAACCGTAATCAGGACGATGCCCATAGAGGGAGAGAGAGAGAGAGAGAGAGAGAGAGACTCGAGGGCGCGCAGTCTTGACGAGGGGGAACCTTTGGGGAGGACCAGCTCGGGGGGTCGGGGGGAAGGCGGCCCGGAACCGGCGATACACACCGCCGACAGATCGGCGGTGGGCGCCCGGCAACCAAGCCGCACGCTCCCGGGTGGGGTGGCCTGTCGGGCCCCTGTCGGCGATCACTGGGCGATCGGGGGGTCGATGCACCCCCCCTGAGCCCACACGGCATGTTTGGGTCGTGTCGACCCCAGCGCTGGTTCCTGAAACCGCGGGGATCGTTCAGCCTTGAAAGATCGGCCGTTTCAGAAACGCCAGATCGTTCAGCGATGGGCCGACTCTGGGTCGCTGGCGGCGTTCAACATTGAGCGGAGGCGGCGGGGTCGCCGCCGGTCGGCACGACGCGGACCTACCGTGCCCTCGTGTTGTTGCCTCCTGGCTTTCGGACCCTAACTCGGCTCTCCGGCGGCCTCTGGGACGATCTGGGCACACCCCCAGAACGCCTTCGGCGAGGCGCTATAGATAAATGGGCCCTGGGACACACTAATAAATACACACAAATCCCAAGATTTCCCATATTTCCGTGTATTTTCTGGGTTTTCGTCTTCCCCCCATTGTCCATGTTTTCCCATCTATTCCCGGGGATCCACGATCAATTGTGTCTGTGTCTTTCCCCCTCCTGAACAGAGAGAGTATCCCGAGGCTGGAAGCCCGCCGAGACCCAGCGAGAACGCCCGAAAACCTCGAGCCTCGAGCCCAGCGCCTCCCCCGGGGCTGCGCCCGAGACACGAGCCTGCCGCAGGCGGCAGGTCGTGCGAGAGGGTGGGGCCAGACGTTGCCTCTGTCGGGGAGGGCACCCTCCTCGGGTTGGGTCGGGCACGTCCTCCCACCGGCGGATTTTGGAGTAACAGTGGTCCCCAGACTATCTCTGGACTACTTTTGAATAGAGTCCCCCCTGCAGAGGGACATGGGGAGATTCATGGCCCCCGCCATCAGATCCCCCCCCACACCCTGACCGTCCAGTGCAAACAAATAGCCCTCCAAATCTATAGACCTATCTGGACCGCCCAAAACCTCGACAGGAATCAGGATGTCGAGGTCCTGGTGCTATTTTTTTGTTGCCTTCCTGGAAGGTCAGGGTAATCATGACCCTCCTCTCTGCCGCCCCCGAGAGGTCAGGACCCTCCCTGAAGCCGGTTTCTTTCATCCCGAGTCGTCTCTTGTCTGTCCAGAGGCCTGGCTGGCGAGGGCCCCCAGAGGCCGAGCCCAGAGCTAGGTCGGGCGTGCCCCCCCAGAGGCGGATTTTGGATGAACAACTATATCTATATCTATATCTATATCTATATATATGTGTATAAAGATGCCCCGAAAATGCTAAACACAAATCCCCCCCAAAAATAAAATCGTCCCCAGACCATTGTTGGACTATGTTTGAACCTTCCCCCTCGAGAGGGACGCGCCCGACTTCAGCCCAGCGAAGAGCCTCCCGGTCGTGCTGTTCTCGCGGCGCGAGGCGGTCCGGGAGCCCTTCCGGCGAGGGCCTCCCGGCATGGCCTCCCGGCCCCCCCCCCTCTCGCGCCCGCCGCCTGCTCGGGGCGGGCCTGCGGGGCCCAGGGGATCGGCCCCCCGCGGGTGGCGGCTTGGGCGTGGACTTCCCCTGCGCCCCCCCCCCCCCCAACCCTGACCTTCCAGAGTGCAACAAGTACCCCTCCAGATCTATAGACCTGTCTGGACCGCCCAAAGCCTCGACACAGGAATCAGGATGCCGAGGTCCTGGTGCTATTTTTTTTAGCCCTCCTGGAAGGTCACGGTTCCCAGGGAAGGGGGCCCTCTCCCCGTCGATCCCGCTCCCGGGAGGGGCGGGCCGGGCGGCGGGGCGGCGGCGGCGGAGCGGTCTCCCCGCCTGCGGGCGGCAGCCCGCGGGGGGGCGGGGCCGCCGCCCTGCCCAGCGCCTGGCAGCGGGCCCGCAGCTCCGCGACGCTGAGCTGCGGGGCCTCGCCCGCGGGGGGGGTGTGGGGGGGGCACTTTTGGGAGGTGGATCTCTCAAGCAGAAAAATGACAAAAACATAAACCAAAAAATGAGAAAAACATGTTTCATTTTTAACCATTTCCAGCTCTCCAAGAGCGGAAAGTTGGAAATGGGAAAAAAATGCCCAGGCCATTTTTAACGCCAACCAAGCTCAAGCTCTCCGCCGCCTCTGGCGGTGTGCGCTGCGAGCAGGGACGCGGCAACGCCACAGGAAAGCGCGGCACTGACAGTGTAGCTCCGCACACGCGACACATGTTGACGAGAAGGAACACAGCAAAGCCACAGGCGAGCGAGGCATTGACAGTGTAGCTCAACATTGACATGGTGGTGGTCGGGGAGCCCCAAAAAAGGGGGGCGGGGCTTCGGTCGACCCAAGAGGGGGTTCAGCTGACAGGGGTGGTGCGATAGGCTTGGTGTCATTTGCTGCAAGTGTGTAGTGCGGCGGAGAAACATGTATTGCAATGTATCGCAGCCATCGTGTATTGCGCGCGAAAGTCGAGCAATACACTTGCGCACCGAGATACACTGCACGCCCCAACGCTAGTGCAACCCCACAAATGTATCGGGGGCGCGCAAACATGGATTAGCGATCCATGGATTTGGCTCGCGGTCGCCAAATCCATGGATCGGAGGAGGTGCCCTCTCCAAAATGCGGCCGGTGCCGCCTCGTTCGGCGGGGGAAATGCGCGATTCCCCATGGAACCGGGACCCGTCGCTAATCCACGCCCCCTAGATCCATGTTTGCGATCGCCTGAGTGTGTTGCACCGAATATGTTGCACCGCCCCCTCGTCGCCAGGGCTGAACCTAAACGGTGTTGTTCGTTTTCGTTTTGTTTTCGTTTTCCCTCGTTTTTGTCTCGAATCCGCCTTTCCCGCAACATGAAGTCGAAACGAAAACGGCCCACGAAATCACCAAAACCACCGTTTATGTCCAGCCGTGCTCGTCGCTGGACACCCCTTTTGGGGTCAGCCAGGGGGGCCGCGGGCGGCGGTGCGAGAGGGTCGAGGCCTCGAGGCCGCCCTGAAGCTTCAAGTCGGGCACGTCCCCCTGCAGGGAGGGCGGCCAAAAAAACAGTCCTCAGGTAGTCTGGTGACGGTGCTTCGACGATGTCTGACCAGCTTACGCATCTTTGCGGGCTGTGCTGAATTCTTCTGTCAGAGTCCGCCTGTAGGAGGACACGCCTGGCCTGACTCGATCTCCTTCGAGCTGCGGACCGTCTGCTGCCCGATGACACGCGACGCACAGGGATTCCACACGGAAAGCAAGCACAAAGTAGGTGATGGTGAGGCGGAAGCTTCTGCCCACTGCTCGGTTCGTGGACGGGCCCTTCCCCTGTGGGTGCAGCCTCTGGGCCGTCGCTCCGTACTCCTCCTCCGTCTCCTCCTTCTCCGTCCGCCTTCCCAGGCCACAGGCCAACCCATTTCCAGAAGAAAGGCCACACCGGATTCCAAGAGGGCGGGGGGGAGGAGATGCGGGGAGGGTATGGCTGAGGGGGGAAGACAATGCGGGCTAAATGGGCTTCGCCCGCTGAGCGGAATTGTCGAATCCGGCCAGGCCACTTGGAGGCTCGTGTAGCCCACTCATACACACGGTGAGGCCAGGCGTAACCCTCCAACGTCCCCGCGCAAACAACCCCCTGAATATCTACTCAGCATCCACCGCAGCGATCCAAGCAACGGCCGAACACAGAACACCATCCCCGCATGTGTGTTCCAGTACACGCCGGTCGAAAGAAGTGTGTACGAACATGGAGTAGGAAGGCGTTGAAGTAGATGAGATCTCCGTCCGCCTGGGAGTAGAGTGGGCTCTGGGATTCAACGACTACCTACTTTCAACAACCAATGGGTACTTGCTGAATGAAAATCATAAACATAATGCTTCCGAGGTCCGCAAAGATGTCCTTGAATCGGCGCTGCATCCCGCTCCCTGGCGCTCGGAAAACGCCAGGGGTCTCACCAGAGGCGCTGTCCAGGGGGCCAAGCTCCGATCCAAGAAACCCGCGCGGCGCCCCGCTCGCCATCGCTCGGACGTCCGTTTCCCGTGCACGGTTCGGCTTCGTGCGTATATATATAAATATACATATATGTGTGTGTGTGTGTGTTCGCAAGACTACCCAAAAAGGCTCCTCAACGACCCTCGTCAAGAAAACATGTACATGTCCGAGCGATGCCGAACCCGAGACACTAGGCTCATGCCGATGCCCTTGTCCGGCTCACACCGGAGGTCTGGAGGGAGGCGCACGCCGCCGTCTCGGCCACGCGGCCCTGCTCCGACCCCTGTGGCGACGCCTACGGTCGGGCCGCTGAAATCATGAACGCCAACTGATGGACGAGGCTCCTTTTCGGCCCCAAAAGCGCCTACGTAAAGGGAGGCCTTGAGGAATAGCCACGGAAGGACCTGAGGAACAGCGCGCCCCTTACAAGCCCAAGCTGCTCCTTATTTCAGCGTCTTGGCTGTATGGAAGCAGATTCTCACTGACGGGAGAGGGCACGCTGATGCGAGCCCAGAATCGATGAATCAGATTAGCGTTAGTTCGGGCGTGTCCCCCCAGAGCCTGATGTTGGACGACAAATGAAAACAACCCCAAAAAATGCTCAGACATACCAAACAAAATAGTTAATAACATCGTCCCCAGACTATGTACTTACTATGTTTGAATGTTCCTCCTCTGGAGGGACAGGCCCGACTTAAGATTAGCGATCATGAAGAATCGGATGGGTGGATATTGGCAACAAAAGTCTGGAGAAATCGAATCGGCGCAGATTGGCAACCTTCATGAGACCTCCGCTGAGGAATCGGAATTCAGATCGGAATCCGAAGTCGAATCGGAATGGAGGCCACCGAAATCGAGTCGAATCGGATAGCTCGGGTATTGCTAAAAGTGCACCTGGCTCGAGGTGCCCCCAAGATTTCCAAGGAGGCCCACACGGCCTCCAGCGCACCCTTCACGAAGCTCAGATGGGCCCCAGGGGCTCCAAAATTGAACGAAAGGCTGGGGGCACCCCGGGCCAGGGGCACCTGTCAGGAACACCCGAATCGTTGGAGCCGAAATGGGGGAACCATGACAGATCCGAGAAATCCGCGCGGAGCTCCGAACGTATATATTGGGACGCGCCGAGACATACTAGTAATAGGTCCTCCTTGGAGGCGCGCGTCCGACCCGAACATATATAGTATACCGATCTTGCAGCATATCGTTTCCCGAGCGGCGTGGCCAGAAAGCGCCCCGCACGACGCATATACTAGAAGATTTCTCGGTGCTCGCGTCGCCCCTGGGGGGCGACGCACATATAGTATAAGTATGTTGGGGTGACGCCGATGCATGCTTCTGCATTTTTATTTCCTCCTTGGATCGCTGGAGCCGACACGAGCCCGGCCCGTGGCCTTCCAAACGCCCCCTGGCGGCCAGCGGAACAGCAGCCGGCATAAGTATGCATCAGAAGCTCTCGGCGCTCCGCGCGGATGCTTCGGCTCTGCGCCAGAACCAGACCCCCTCGAGTCCTGAAAAAAAACACATCCGCGCGGACCGCCAACGTTTGTACTGGCAGTCGATCGTATCATCAGCAGGTGCGATGAGGATGCATGGGCCTCGGCAGGCCATGTCGACAATTTGCGAGCGGGTCTCGGCCAGCGAAAGCGGCCAAGGATGGGCTGAAGGGGCAGGGATGCACGGACACCCACCGGTCGGAAGAACTGGGCAGAAACATGAACCAGGAAAACGTTGGAAGCAGATTGGGTCTCCGGCCACCCCCTGAGGAGACAGAGGGAAGAGGGAACACCGCTGGACTCTTGAAGCGGGAAGGCGCCCAAAGTAGAGTGGAGTGGGCCTGGGCATCCCAAGCATTCCTTTCAACGACCGCCAAGTAGCCTTGGAAAGCCGCTCATGCTTACTACAGCCGGACCCAGGCCAGAAGAGCATCCTGCAAGCACACGAAGCCCTCTGCTGGCCAAAACGCGGGTCGGGCAAAAGAGGGGGAAAGCCAAGGGGGGGTTGAGAATGAGCTCGTGTAGCTGATTTTCCCAGCGCCGCCCGGCGCCGGAGGCGCCCATGTATCGATGAATGGGCCCCTCGGTGGAGCCGAAACCAGCTGCATGCAGCAGATTTCGTAACCCCCCTTTCCCAGTCCCCCCTTTCGTCCGGCCCGACAATGGCACCCTCCACAGGGGCGCACGCGAGCACCCGACGACCACGAAGAACACCAATGGTACCCTCCCCGAGCCGACCTCGATCTTGTACCCCGGCCCGGCTGCATGGAGGTCGACTGTATCGGCGGCGAGCGAGGGAGGGAAGTGAGGATCGGGCGTTGTTAGAACTGGGTTTAGTGGAACCTGGTTAATGATCTGTACCGGGGGCGCCCCCCCGTCCCATTTCCACTAACCAGAACTGCCGTCACCCGAAAAACACACACAAGCTATGGCAAACCTGGTTTAGTGATTCTGGCCGATTCAAAGGCTCCGGGGCCCTATCACAAACCGGGTCCCCTTACCCGGGGTCCTGGCCATACCCGAGAGAAGGAGAAGGCCTTCTCAGAAGCTTCGGCAGCCCCCCGGCCTTCTGAGAAGTTCCCCGAGCTTTCCCCGAAGACGCACGAGGACTTCTCGGGAGGCGCGAGGGCTTCTGCGAAGTCCTGCCGCCTTCTGCGAAAGCCTCCTTCTTCTCATGTCCCCTCCCTCGCTCGCCGCCGAATGTGGCTTTTGGATCATAACTCGGAACTCCGGCGGCCGTTCCGGACGATCCGGGCACCCCCGGACTGCCCTCGGCGAGGCGCAGCTGCTGGCAAGCATCCTGAGGTTGGAAAACCGCCGAGAACCGACGAAAACGTCCGCAAAAAAACCTCGAACCTCGAGCCTTGAACCCGAAAGTTTCCCCCCCTCGCTCGCCGCCGACTGTGTGCTGCTTTTCCTCCTTCGGTTCCAGTGGCGCCTCCCCCCTCTGCGGCGGGGGGCGCCTCGCTGCTGCGCCGGCCCGGCGGGGCGGCCGCCTCCTCGGGCGCCGCGAGCCTCGCGCAGACGCGGGAGAGGATCTCCAGGTGCCTCGCAGGAGCGGACGGCGACGGCGACGTCTTCGTCGTCGTCGTCGTCGGCGAATCGTCGTCGTTGTCGTCGTCGTCGTCGTCGTCGTCGTCGTCGTCGCCTGCACCAGGCGGACTGCCGCCCCGCGGCGACACCTGCCACAGGCACCCCACAGGTGTCTCGCCGGCGACGGCGGCGACGGCGGCGACGGCCTCGGCCTTCCACAGGCGCCCAACACAGGTCCTCGGGGGTCCCCAGGCAGGGCTGAACCTGACGGCGTTTCTCGTCGCCGTTTTGCTCTTCGTCCTTCCTCGTTCTGCCTTCGCTCCTCCCCGAACGCAAAACCGAAAAGGAAAACAAAACGGCCCACGAGATGGCGGAAGCACCGTTTAGGCCCAGCCCTGCCCCCAGGAGGCACTGCACTTGCCCACCACCAGGTCCCTACCGGGCCAGGCGTAGGAGCAGAAGGGTGCAGGACCGGCGCCGTTGTGCCCACCAATACGAGAGGAAGAAAGCAAGCAGAGGATATCGGCACAGACCCGCACAGATTACAGAAGCTGAAGCACATGGCACGGCAGCTATCAGACATAAATGGCAACATGCAGCAATTGTATGACTATGCCGTGTACTATCGAGCCAGGAGGCAGCACGTGCTGGACTCCCTGCCAGACTGCAGGAGCGCGGGGGGTCTGGGGAAACTGCAGGAAAAAGGCCAGCATCGAGAATCGCGAAGCCGGATCGCAGTCGAAACCGAGCCGGATCTGCAGAAGTCGGCGCCCAAGACGGAAAAACACACATCGGCTCGGAAATCGGAAACCAGCGATCGAATCGGAATCTGACTACCTACCAGACCACCCCAACCCAACCCGAAGACCCCAATTTCGGGTTGGGGGGGGTACGGGTTCCACACGTGTTTTTTCTATGTTTCCCGACCCCCCCCCCACTGGAAATCGAGGGTAAATTGGGGCCTTCGGGTTGGGTTGGGGTGGTTTGGTGGGTGGTGAAACCAGCGATCGAATCGGAATCGGATCGGAAAATGTTGTCGGGGTCGGATCGACGTCGAACCGGTCGGGGGCCGCGTCGAATCGGCTCGGGTCGGAGCCCCTCGAGGCCCCCATCGGACGCACGGCGCCGATGACGTTGATGATGGCGGCAGGCGCGCAAACAAACCTCCTTGGGGCTATCGGGTCGGGCGAAAGGGGGGGATAGCAAAGGGGGGGTTTGAGAATCAGCTCACGTAGCTGATTTTTCCCGGCGCCTCCCGGCGCCGGGAGCGGCCATGTATCGAGGAATTGGCCCCTCGGTGAGGCCGAAACCAGCTGCATGCAGCAAATTTCGTAACCCCCCCTTTCCCAATCCCCCCCTTTCGCCCGGCCCGAGGCTACTGCGACGATCACGACAGCAAGAATTGACGCAGAGAGGGACCAGGAATCTCTGAGAGTTGGCAGCTCTGGAGGATGTATCTGGCGCCGCGGCCTTCTCCGCACGTTCTGGAGCATCCTGAGCGCGCTCCGTAACGCTCGCTGGAACGGATTTACCCTCGTCCTGGCCCCGTTGGACTACGGGTGCGGGCTGTCTGAGTTCCGGGCAGAAGGAGTCTTTCGTAATGGGGCCGCCCCCAACAAAAACAATAATTCATCCTGTGGCGCATGGCGCGTAGCAAGCACGTGCTGATATTCTACGACGTGAAAATCCCGCACGAACTATTGCACGAACTATTGCGTGCATAGTTGAGACCCCTTGTGCAAAAGATTCATTGCCCTGAGCCCGACTGTCGGAACCCTTCGACCGGGAGAACTCTGGAGATCGCACAGGTATGCATGCTAGTTGCCAGCTCGTGACTCAAGGAGGAGGGGCGCGTGACCACAAAACTTCACACGACCCTGAGGCCCGCCGTGGCAAAACAAGTGCAACATCGCAAACGATCGCGACCAGAGCCAGGGATTTCATCATTCTGCGTCATGTTTCGAGGCGGATCGAACTGTGAGGGTCCAGGGGGCCAGAAACTGGGCGAAAATGCCCGTCTCAAAAATCAAGACGCTACGATCTCAAAGGACTCGACCTCAACCGTTGTGCGAACCAAGCGATTTTCAAACGAAAACGCCCCAAACTCGCAGGGGATCCGGGTGTGTAGATGAGGTCGGAGGATTGAAGCGCATCGCCGACGTATCGGCGACGTCGGCATGGAAAAGTCTCGGACTCCACATCGAGCCGCATCGGCGATGCATCGGCGATGCGGCGCGATCCTCCGACTCCATTCTTGGCACGCCAGTAACAGGTACGGGAACAAAACTATGCCCAACAACAACCGTTGTCGCAAACCGACAGCGGCCGCTGTTGGGCAGCCGCCCGTCTGTACTGAAAGGACGACGTCCGCTGCGACGCTGACAGAGTCCCCTTCGGAATGGATGGGACTGCTCGGGGATGGACAGGACCCCCTTTCGCAAAACGTGGTTTAGTGAAAACGACCTCGGGCCCAAATCTGGCGGGCGAAAGCCTGGAGACTGACGGCCACGGCGCCCTCTCGAGAACCGAAAACGGACAATTCACTAATCGACGTGTCACTATTGGGGGTTCTGTCCAGCCCCGAACTGCTGCTCGTCCTCGCACGCACCCCGCTCTATCCGTTCCCCTCTCCGTGGCGCCCACGAAGGGGGGGGGTCGCAGATCGTGGCCCCCTTGGGCACGTGCGCGGCCCTCGGGGGGGGGATCCAGGGGGGGCGTCCGGAAGGAAGAGGCGCCAGGGCATCCTGCAGGCGTCACGGCTCCGGCCAGGACGTCCCCCCCCCCCCCCCCCGGCGAATCCCCCCCCCCCCCGCCCCCCTCTTTTGGCCGCCCTCGACCGTCTCGGTCCTCCAGGCAATCTGCTCCGACCCTTGGCGGCGCGCGCACAAGGGGGCGGGAGGGAGGGGGGAGGACTTCTTGGAAGGAGGCTGCTTCTCAGAAGGCGCTGGCCCTGCATCTACAGGCAAGGCCCGCGCCTTCTGAGAACCAGGGGTGCTTCGATGAAGCCCTCCACCTTCCCCCTCTGCGCGTGGCTGGCCCCCCCCCTTTGCCGCCCCCGACCACCTCGGTTCTCCAAACATCTGAGACGACCGTGTCTTCGGTGGCAACTCATGGGAGCCTCCCATACCATCTTGTCGGCTCTTGCGAATCGACGCTAGCCAACGCTCAATCGACGCTAATTGACGCTAAATCGACGCTAATCGACGCTAACCGACGCTAATCGGCACTAAAGACATAATCACGACGGTACACAACTCTCCCGTGATTTGCTACCGAACCTGCCTGTGTGGCCTCGAGTTTGATACCCGCCCCCCCCCCTCCAGCGAGGCGGCGCTGGCAGCTGGGGAGGGCGGCCTCGGCTTGAAGTCGTCCACCGCACGCGCGGCCTGCGCAAGGGCACGCCGGGCCGGTCGTCGATCGGTCGGTTTGCCGTCGCTGGCCCGAGGTCGATAGATCGACTGATCGTCGCTGGCCAACGGTCGACGACCGATCAATCGCTTGGTAGTCGATTGATCAATCGGTCGTCGATCGGTCGGGCTGGCGTCGTAATCAGAATGAGGGGGCCGAACGGCCACTTATTGTCCGCGGGTGCGTGGCAGAGATGGCGTTCCGTCCGGCGGATTCTGCTTGTTGCGTTGTTGTGGAGCGGTCCTTTCTAACAAGTAATTGTTGTTGGTGCCCCCTCAGGTGCACATTGTGCTTTTTCAAGTGAAGTTCCCCTCCCAGGACTTATATACAGTTTCTACTAAGGAGAGCCTTGAGCCTCAGATTGTGCCCCACCAGTTTACAACAATAATGTCTCACGCCTGCTTCCACAATTTATTCAAGATCGCGCCCTCGCGCGGGACTGCCTCAGCACGTATCCAGGCATCGAGCTTTCGCGGGTACCTCCCCGTGGTGTATTCAGACGCCGCGCCCTCGACACTCAGGAATCGCGTTCTCACTCTGGAATTCCTGGCGATTTACTTGAGAATCGCGCTACCAATTGAGACTGCCTCGCGATCCATGCAAGACCGACGCTTCAACGACCCGCGGTCTCGACCGGGCCGTTCGGGCCCGCCCTCCCGCCCCGCTCGTCGATGTCCGCCCGCCCAATCCATCGTTGTGGTTATGCGGCTTGTTTTTCTGCTCCAGACCCACTCTCTGCTCATCGCTCCTGCTCTATCCCCTTTGTCCTTCCCTCCTCCCTTCCTGTGTTGTACGGGCTGCGTCAAGTATGCGTGGCACGTATTGAAGATACACCCCCAAGGGGATACGATCGAAGACGAAGCGGGCGGGTATCGAGGGTTAGGGGCATGCACGTGGGATGGCGCGAACAGGGAAGAGCGAACAAGCGTGAACTGACAATCAAATTGTCATTTCTAAGAAACATAACTATTGTTGATATCCCCGGTGACCTTTTCAATTAAAATGCTCCTCCCTCGGTTGTTCTCTCGCGTGGTACTTCCTCGCAATGTATTGAACCACCGCGCCCTCG